TTTGTGTATCATTTGCTTGAAATTATGCCAGTTGTGACCCTTTTCAAGCTACTTTTTTTTTTTTAAACCTTAAGGATTTCTCCAGAACTTCAGGTGGAAAATAATTTGAATCAATACAGTTAGAGAAAAGTCACAGGCTGAATTGATTTTATCTCTTTCCTCTTTCTCTATCAGAAAGAATTCCCAAGAAATCCACCAGCACGTGTGACCTTCTTCTAAGGTCCAAGATCATAATTTAAGTTTCACTTGGGTGGAAACACCCTTAGCAAATGCTTTCTGCTCCAGAAAGGATCAAAGACATGAAGGAACATCTGAATCAAAAGACTTGTGATGACCCAGGGTGGGATACAAAACAAACACAGTCACAGAAAACAGGTGAAGCCCCTTTTATTCCTTCACTTTGCTTCCAAGCTCCAAATATCCTTGACGGAAGACAAAAAACTCCCTCACAAACAGTTACAAGAAGAAGGGAAAAAGCAACACAAACCAGGCAAGATAAGGGCTGGAGGACATCCACAGATAACACATACTTGGAAGGAGGCCAAACTCAGAGAGGAACCATAAACTAGAGATATTTCCATGTTTTGTTTCCAGCATTCGCCCATATGCAGACCTATCCTCTTATTCAGTTGTCACAGCTGAAGCCCATGAAGAGGATCAAGGCCCCCTCCTCCCAAGTAGACCACATCTCTCCCTTATCCTCTCCTCCCTGCATGCCCTAGGATGGATAGGGGATGGGCCTGGGTCCTCCTCTGACTGCTCAGCCAGCCTCTGCCCTTCCCCAGCCTCCTCTACAACCTCCAGAGCCACACTTCCACTCCCTGTTGGCTGTTCCTCCTCTCCCTCAGAGTCCGTCTCCACCAGGGGCATGACAAGACTGCCTCTTACCGAAGAAAACACCAAGCACTGTTCTGTTCTTCTGAGAAGGAAGACCTGATTCTCCTTGGGCCACCACGTTGCTAAGTCTGCGGGCATTGGGCACATGAGGTTCCTGCAGGGCCTTGAAGACCCCATCTGCATAATTGGCAGGGAGTAGACGTGACATCCGTGAACCTATGGGGGAAGAAATGTCAACATGAGGTGGGAAGGAGGCAAAATATGGCAGAAGGAACACGAGAGGTTTCTCAATAATACTTTAGACAGAGAAGAAAACAAATTGATGGATCATTGGACCTTCTTCTCACTCAAGGCACAAATCACCAGGCTCAAGTGATCTTACTTTAGCCAAGGAACCAGCTGTCTGGAGAAGATAACGCCCACTAAGATCAATAAGACTCAAGTTGAGAATTTCAGCCTTAAATAACCCAAGGATTCCTCTAGGTTGGACATTTAGAAGGTCAGCTGCATCTTGCTCACCTGCTGAGTTGTGTCTATGGTACATGAGGTTGTTATACCAGCCATCATAACGTTGAATTTCCCAGTGGATGTTTTCCTGGGCACCTGGAAATAAAGCAGGCAAGGAAGAACACATTTTGGAAAATAAGGTGGTTGGGAACAACGTTGAATTCCATTGAAAATTGGGGCCAGTTCTTACTGTGGAATCAACATTGAAAACCTAACAATGATTCCTTCTGTTGAAAAACAAGATTTGGCTCCTGGATCGTTACTTCAAGTGAATATCTTTCCAACTGCATTCAGTGGGGATGACCAAAATTCAACCATAATGCCTCTTGAAAGAAGCAAGCCTATTTTTAACAAGGTTATATATCTCCCCTGCTTGTCCATGCCATACTATCTGTCCGTGCCATACTATTTGATTCTCCATCTAATTAAATAGAACCCAGGCCAAGACATGCACAGACAAATGTTAAGAGATTTCTATTCAGATAAAGTTGGTCATTTGATCTCCAGTTTAGGTCTTCCAAAAAGGCAAATAAAATGTTTATGGGATGGAAGTAAGCATCCTTTTCCTTTAAAAATATAATAATTATTAAAAATCCTAGGTTTGTTAGCCTTCCCCTCTCCTTCCCTAGAAGGGAAGGCTCAAATCCTTAGGACTATTTAATAATCACATTTTTTTAAAAAAAAGATGAAGTGGGTGGAAAGAGAAACTAAAGCAAAGAATATATTAAAAGATGCAGAAAAAAAACCTGGCAATTGAATGGTGGGAATATTAGGAATGTTGATTATAAACTTTGTCATGTAAGTACAAAATGAAACAATGGATTTTTCAGATTCTGTATGAAATTTGGACCCTATATTTCAATATATATGTATGGAAGGTGGCAAGGAATTTATACAGTTTTCAATCTGGACTGGTTAATCTTCCTCAGTGACTGGTAGCCATGTCAGTCCCTCTAACATTGGAGGCTGAGAGAAAAATGGGAGAACAACTATTCCCAAATTCTGTGTGGGATTTTTCAAAAGAATGTGGATAACATCAGTGGGAACATTGTGCTAAAGTGATGGTCCAACTTCTCCCACACATCTCCTATAGCGTTCTCAGCAACACCTTCGGTGGATGATGGCGCTGGCCCTTCTGGAGATGGTGGAAAAATGAACTCACCTGCATTGTGCCATGAATGTGTCAAAGCCAACAAAAGGCCGATAAGAAGACCTGGGATTTTACCAATTGTCCCCATGTCTTGAGATGGGGGACAAGCTAGATGTCTTCCTGAAAGTAAAAAGAAAAAGATTTGCATGTGTGACCACTTTGATATTAAATAAAATAAGGGACATCAGGTCATTGACTTCACAACTCTGCACCTTCTCACACCCCAGAGCAGGTCACCATTTTCCAAAGAAATGATTCGAAAATTTGTTTTTCCATCTCCTAGATCTGCGTCATGATACATGCCGATGGTTGTAAAAATATGGTTGCAACCAATTGCCAATTGGCTACCAACTCTTACAAATCTAGAGCTATATTAGAAGGAGGAAAATGGCCAAGGAAGGGATGGTCACATTTCTCCATGGACTTTTGATACCCCATCCAAGGATGTTTTCTCATTTTTATCAGAGATACCACAAATGTTCAGATATGGTTTATCTTGCAAGTCCTAGCTTTCAAAGCTGCACAAAGAAACAATAAAGTTGGTCTTCCGTTCTACAATCCTTAGGAATTCTTGTAACGGGAGTTGTGAGTCATACCACCTTCCAGTTTGGCCCACTTCTACGCGGTAGACATAAAACGTTTTGCTCCATATTTAGGTACACATGTTTGGTTCAACCTTTTCCAGAAGTGTTTAGAAAGAATTGAGTAGAAAGAACAAGCAGTAGCATGTTGACTTTAAAATAATAATAATAGCAATGGGTACTTGAGTGGAGATGAAGTGGTTGGCTGATTGTTCACCTTGGCCTAGAGAGTATGTGGTTCTTTTTAAACTCTCTTTAGAAAATTGGGGTGGAGAAAGCTCTACCTGACTCTACCTGACTCTGTGGCTTCTTCCCCAAAGCCCAAAAACTTTAACCTTAGACTGTCTACTATTGACCTCACCCCTTTCCTAAGAGGTCTGTGAGTGGGCGTGCATAAGCGCACCAACGTGCCTACCGTCCCTGTCCTAATGTTTCTTTTATATTTTTTGTATTTTTCTTATATGTATCCATGTATTCATAACTATGTTTTTACTTATACCTATTAACTTGTAAACAATTGACAAAAATAAATAAATAAAAAATAAATTAAAAAAGCGATTGAAGGAGATGGTTTTCTTTGTTCTCTCTGCCAAAAGAGGTCAGGAAGACAACATGCCATCATTAAGAATCTGGAATGTTTTAAATGCTCACGGAGATAAAGAGACGTATCCAAATTGTAGGCCTTTAGTGGGAACGGAGAAGTTGCTGACAACGTGGTTCGTTCAACATGGTTAACCCATCAGGGAAAGAAGAACTGGGGGAAGAATTCGGAGGCAACAAATGACAACTGTTGTAACCTGCTTAATTTTGGAGGGGGGAAGGATTGGAGTCTATTCTTGTAAGATGGGTGGTCGTATAGGCTTAATAAATAAATACAAATATTCTATAATTGTGGAAACCATAAAGCACAATTCTATAATTGTGGAAACGGTGGAGATATTTGTGGATTGTGATGCAAATGGCAGGTAGTCCCCAGCTTAGGATGATTCATTTAGTAACCATTCAAAGCTACAACAACACTTGGGGGAAAAGGTGACTTACAACCAGCCCTCACACTTATGAACGCGAGCCTCCCTACAGTCACATAATCAAAATTTGGCCGTTTGGCAACCGGCAGGTATTTACAAGGGTTGCAACGTCCGAGGGAAATGGAGGGTTAGGGTCAGGTGATCGCCAGTTGTGACTTCTGACAAGCAAAGTCAATGGGAGGAGTCAAAGGGGAGAGATGGATTTGTTTAACGACTGCATGATTCATTTAATGACTAAGATACACTTAAATAAGGGAAGTGGTGGCTGAGTGGCTAAAACGCTGAGCTTGTCGATCAGAAAGGTCGGCAGTTCAGTGGTTCGGATCCCTAACGCCGCGTAACGGAGTGAGCTCCCGTTACTTGTCCCAGCTTCTGCCAACCTAGCAGTTTGAAAGCAAGTTAAAAAAAGTGCAAGCAGGCAAATAGGGACCCCTTTAGTGGGAAGGGAACAGCGTTCCGTGCGCCTTCGGCATTTAATCCTGCCAGTCATAGGACCACGGAGACGTCTTCGGACAGCGCTGGCTCTTCTTCGGCTTTGTAACGGAGATGAGCAGCGCCCCCTAGAGCCAGAAACGACTAGCATATAGGTACGAGGAGAACCTTTATCTTTATATACACTTAAATGTAGCAAGAAAGTCATAAAACTGAGCACGCTTAATCGCTTAAATCCCACCTTGCTTAGCAACAGAAATTCTGCACCCAATTCTTGTAGTATAATCAAGGGCTACCTCTAATTTTGCACTAGGGGGAATGTGTCGAAGGCATTCAGAACCATTGCCCAGTCTTGTAAAACCCACGGCCAGGCATGTGACTTTTTGCAAGTGGTGGAGTTTATGTTTAATTCGTCTTTTCCATAGCCCCACCCACGTCTGGTTCCAGCCCTGCCCCTTGGAGACCATTCCCCTTCCACCCTTCGGTGGAAAAGCCAGACCTGGATTTCCTTCAATAAATCGAATATTTTCTGTGCCCTATCAGCAAATGAAAATGCTTGGCCCAAAGACCAGCAGCCAAAAAAGCTAAGGCAATCCTAAATTGCATTAACAGAGGGATACAATTGAGATCAAGTGAGGTACTGATACCATTCTATAAAGCCTTAATAAGACCACACCTAGAACACTGCATCTAGTTTTGGTCACCACACTATAAAAAAGATGTTGAGGCTCTAGAAAAAGTGCAGAGAAGAGCAACCAGGATGATGAGGGGACTGGAGGCTAAAACATATGAAGAATAGTTGCAGGAACTGGGCCTGGCTTGTCTGGTGAAGAGAAGGACCAGGGGGGACAGGAGATCAGCTTTCCAGTATGTGAGGGGCTGCCACAGAGAGGAGGAGGAAGGGGTCAAGCTGTTTTCCAAGGCACCTGAAGGCCAGACAAGGAATAATGGATGGAAACTGAACAAGGAGAGATTCAACCTGGAAATAAGGAGAAACTTTCTGACAGTGAGAACAATCAACCCATGGAACAGAAGTTGCCCTCGGAAGTTTGTTGGAGCGCCATCACTTGAGACTTTCAAGAAGAGATTGGACTGCCATCTGTCGGAAATGGTGTAGGGTCTCCTGCTTGGATGGGGTGGGGTTGACTAGATGACCTACAAAGTCCCTCCCAACTCTGATTATCTGTTAAATCTGTTAAAGGCACATTTTAAAACCCACAAAGCTTGCTGTGAGCAAGTCCACATCATCTCACACACCCCCTTCCTCTGGCCACAGTTTGCCACCTCACATACGAATACACCGCACATGTGGGAAACAGTTGGGTCACATTATTTCACAAGGCGTTGCTCGGACACACTGCCCGGAAGGAGCGAGCAAGGAAAAGCCCATCCTTACCTCAAAAAGAAATCTTTACCCCACTGAAATCCTGCACCGCGGCTACTGTATCCGGAACCGATCTTCCTTGTATCAACCACGTTCGGGGAAATAGGGTTCCTCTTTGATGGTGATGGAAGTGGATTACGGAACAGAAGCTACCTGATTACCCGTAAAAAGAAACAGGTAGAGAGCGCAAAAAAAAGAATAATAATGGAGAAATAGGAAGACAAAACGAAGGGGAAAGAGGAAAAACTGGTTTCTGCTAGAGGAGGAAGAAGGGAGGTTTAGAGAATATACAGGGGTTTCCCCCGTTTGCTAAAGATAGGAGCTGGAGTCTAAAGGTATTTGGATGCTGTAATATTTGCAAGCAGGGGAAGAAAGGAAGGGGGAAAAACCACGCAGGATCGGCCAACCGATTTGGCAATGTGGGAGTTGGTTCCTTGACAACTGCAGAGACCCAACAACCAAGACATGAATAGAATAGAATAACATAGCTGAAAGGGACTTGGGAGGTCTTGTATAGGAAGGAAACCCTATACCCCTTTCGACCAATGGTTATCCAATCTTTTCTTAAAAACCTCCAGTGTTGGAGCATTCACAGCTTCTGGAGGTCAATTGTTCCACAGGTCAATTGTTCTAACTGTTTGGAAGTTTCTCCTTGTTTCTAAGTGGCTTCTCTCCTCGGTTAGTTTCCACCCGTCGTTACTTGTCCTGCCTTCAGGTGCTCTGGAGAATAGCTTGACACCTTCTTCTTTGGGGCGGCCCCTGAGAGCGACGTTTACCTTCAATAACAGAATAATAGAGTTGGAAGGGCACCTTGGAGGTCTTCTAGTCCAACCTTCCGCTCCAGCAGGAAACCCTTATAGGATTCCAGACAAATGTTTACGTCTTCTTTCAAACCTCGACCGTTGGAGCACTCACGACTTCTTGGAGGCAAGATGTCCCGCCGATTAATTGTTCAAGAAACAGATGCTCTGAGGGGTAGCTGAGTGGTGGAGAGGAGCCTTGAACCCAGAAAACGGAAAGGGGAAACTGAGGCAAGGTCTGAACCCCTCTAAATGGTGGAGGGAGGGAAATAAGACAAGACAAGACGGCCTTTCGAATCAAGTCCAGATATGGGAGTAGGCTCCCGTACAATTCAGGAGGCTCAACAGCTCCCCAACATGATTACTTCCACTACTGGGAAGCCACACAGGGTATTTCTACTCCAGGTAGAAAGATGTTCCCAGAGGATGTTAAGGGGAAATGAGTCAGCAAACTGTAGACCTTCTTCTTGGAACAGCCTTGGTGTTAACATGGCTTCCTCCAAGAACGTTTCTCAATTGAGAAGTGTTTCCAACTCTGCCCTAGATCAGGATCTACCCTAGACTGGTCTAGGGGGGGTCTCCAGCCTTGGCAACTTTAAGACTTGTGAACTTCAACTCCCACATGCTGCCTGGGGAATTCTGGGAGATGAAGTCCACAAGCCTTATAAAGTTGACAAGGCTAGAGACTCTTGCCCAAGACGTTGTCTTAACTTGCAGCCAATATCTCTCATGTGGATGCTGTCTGGCGAAGGACCATCTTTGGAGGATTGGGATTGCACTGAATTTCAGAAGGCAGGAAGGTTTGTAGAGGGTGGGGGCGGGGAAGAGTGTTGAAAAATGGATGAAACCTATATTTTAGGGGACAGGGGTGGTCTGTCCTGTTTGGAAGGGAGCA